TTGTGAGTGGGGTATTAAAGTCTCCTACTATTATTGTGTTACTATTAATTTCCTCTTTCATACTCGTTAGCATTTGCCTTACATATTGCGGTGCTTCTATGTTGGGTGCATATATATTTATAATTGTTATATCTTCTTCTTGGATTGATCCTTTGATCATTATGTAGTGTCCATCTTTGTCTCTTTTCACAGCCTTTATTTGAAAGTCTATTTTATCTGATATGAGTATTGCGACTCCTGCTTTCTTTTGGTCTCCTTTTGCATGGAATATTTTTTTCCAGCCCTTCACTTTTAGTCTGTATGTGTCCCTTGTTTTGAGATGGGTCTCTTGTAGACAGCATATATAGGGGTCTTGCTTTTGTATCCATTCAGCCAGCCTTTGTCTTTTGGTTGGGACATTCAACCCATTTACATTTAAGGTAATTATTGATAGGTAATTATTGATAGGTATGGTCCCGTTGCCATTTATTTTGTTGTTTGGGGTTCATGTTTATACCACCTTTCTGTGTTTCCTGTCTAGAGAAGATCCTTTAGTATTTGTTGAAGAGCTGGTTTGGTGGTGCTGAATTCTCTCAGCTTTTGCTTGTCTGTAAAGCTTTTGAGTTCTCCTTCATATCTGAATGAGATCCTTGCTGGGTAGAGTAATCTAGGTTGTAGGTTATTCTCTTTCATTGCTTTAAGTATGTCATGCCATTCCCTTCTGGCCTGAAGGGTTTCTATTGATAGATCAGCTGTTATCCTTATGGGAATCCCTTTGTGTGTTATTTGTTGTTTCTCCCTTGCTGCTTTTAATATTTGTTCTTTGTGTTTGATCTTTGTTAATTTGATTAATATGTGTCTTGGGGTGTTTCACCTTGGGTTTATCCTGTTTGGGACTCTCTGGGTTTCTTGGACTTGGGTGGCTATTTCGTTCCCCATTTTAGAGAAGTTTTCAGCTATTATCTCCTCGAGTAACTTCTCATGGCCTTTCTGTTTGTCTTCTTCTTCTGGGACTCCTATGATTCGAATGTTGGGGCGTTTCACACTGTCCCAGAGGTCCCTGAGGTTGTCCTCATTTCTTTTGATTCTTTTTTCTTTTTTCCTCTCTGCTTCATTTATTTCCACCATTTTATCTTCTAACTCACTTATCCTATCTTCTGTCTCTGTTATTCTACTCATGGTTCCCTCCAGAGTGTTTTTGATCTCATTTATTTCATTATTAATTTTTAATTGACTTTTTAAAATTTCTTCTAGGTCCTTGTTAAACATTTCTTGCATCTTCTCAATCTTTGTCTCCAGGCTATTTATTTGTAACTCCATTTTGTTTTCAAGATTTTGGATCATTTTTATTATCATTATTCTAAATTCTTTTTCAGGTAGATTCCCTATTTCCTCCTCTTTTGTTTGACTTGGTGGGCTTTTTTCATGTTCCTTTACCTGTTGGGTTGTTTTTCTTTTCTAAAAGACTTAAAGACTTAGTAAACTTTTGTATGCTGGTGCTGCTGCTGCTGCTAAGTCGCTTCAGTCATGTCCGACTCTGTGAGACCCCATAGACGGCAGCCCACCAGGCTCCGCCGTCCCTGGGATTCTCCAGGCAAGAACACTGGAGTGGGTCGCCATTTCCTTCTCCAATGCATGAAAGTGAAAAGTGAAAGGGAAGTCGCTCAGTCGTGTCGGACTCTTAGCGACCCCATGGACTACAGCCTACCAGGCTCCTCCGTCCATGGGATTTTCCAGGCAAGAGTACTTGAGTGGGTTGCCATTGCCTTCTCCATAAAACATTTGTATAGTTTTGCAAATTACAAGAAACTTTATTTGGTTAAAATTATTTATATTTGTATTTCTATCAATATTTCAAGTTATATTATTTTTATTTTGGTCTTAACAGAATAATTCCTTAATGAAATAGATGATATTGAACTTCATGTGGACCTTGTGTCTGGAAAAATTATTGAACTCTCATGCTGCTGCTGCTCAGTTGTGTCCGACTCTGCGAGACCCCATAGATGGCATAGATGGCAGCCCACCAGGCTCCTCTGTCCCTGGGCGTCTCCAAGGAAGAACACTTGAGTGAGTTGCCATTTCCTTCTCCAATGCATGCATGCATGCTAAGTCACTTTGGTCATGTCCAACTCTGTGCGACCCTATTGACAGCAGCCCACCAGGCTCCTCTGTCCACAGGGTTTTCTAGGCAAGAATACTGGAGTGGATGCTATTTCCTTCTCCTGAACTCTCATAATTCTAATAATTTTTTACTGGATTACCTTGGATTTTGAAATTTGCTGATAATGTCTGCTGCAGAAACAATTTTGACTTATTCTTTAGACATTGTGTCTTTTTCTCTTTCTTGTCCTATTGCATTAGGGCCAGGAATTTCTAAATAATTCCTACTTGACGGTTTAATAGAAAAGCATAGCATAATGATCCTTAGCAATTTTATGGGCTTGCATGATGTATGGTTGATTCTTGTTATTCCTGATGTGTTTCTACAAAGTCACCATGAACATGAATTGGTAGATGCTGAATGTTTGCTTCCAGGGGAGATACAGGAAAACTCAGCCACTAGGTGTAAAGGGACACTTCCTCCCCTTGTATAAATAGCATCTACGCACACCCTACAGCTCACGCCATGTTATTGCTGAGTAAGATCAAGGGTAGGTGGTGGTGGATCTAACTTAAGTAGCACTGGGGTCCCACAAAGATTCGTTTTGTCTTGCAGGCACCTTTGCTGTGATTTAGGCGTGTAGGTCAAAGGTAGTTCCCGTTGTTCAGGATCTGACAGGGATGGTCTGGAAATTATATATGCTAACTGAGACAAAATAAACACAGGTGTCTTAGACTCTAAGATGTCTAAGAGTGCATGGGCAGGAGAAGCAGCTGGTCACAGTTGGGATTGGCAAGTGGACTGTTTGAGACCGTTACCTGGGAGGTACTGCTTTTCCTTGGTGAACTGTTATACACCGTAAGACAAGTTTTATTAAAACAACTCCCTTTCATTTGCATCAGACCATATTTTTGCTTTCTGATTTTTCTAAGTATTAATTGTACTTTTTTGTACAATTTTTGTACAAATTTTGTACAATTAATTGTAAATAATATTGTTTCAAGTCAAAAATCAACAAGTAGGATTACATCAAACTCAAAATCTTCTACAAAGGAAAAGACTACGGTTAACAGTACTACATTGCATAGTTCAAAGCTACTGAGAGAGTAATCAGTGAATGTTCTCAGCATAATAACAAAAATGGAAATTATGGGATGAGAAGGATGTGTTCGCTAATCTTACTGGGTTAAACATTTAGTGACATGCATGTCAAATCGTCACATGTACATGCACCTTGAACTTACACTGTTGGATGTCAGTTATGTCTCAGCAAAGCTGGAAAGAACCCACAGTCGCCAAGGAGAACACTCGCAGTTGTCATTTTTGGTTGAACTTTGCCAGGAGCATCAAGATGGCTTGACTTTCCAAGCATGTTGACCTGTGTCCTTGCTTTTTCACACTGAAGCATGCCTGTTCTGTCACATGCAGAACCTCCTGGAAGCCTTCAGCTAAAACACTGACAAGCAAAAGTTGCAAGGGTCGAAGTGAATCTGAATTCTGACCCTAAAATTGCAATGACAAGAAAACTGAAGCTGGTGCAAAGAAAAAATCTTTTTTTTTCAATGAGTAGATTGCTCTGATCTATAGTTGTAAAGCAAAATATTCTCCAGAAGGAAGAGTTCATCCATAACTTTCTATTACCCTCCCTTTAGATTTTTCTAGTGATGATTGATGTTTCAAAAGGCATGGAAGCAGTGCAGATTCTTAAAGTGGACTTCAGAGCATACTTAAGTTCTTTAATGTTTTCCTCTGGGGTCCTGCTAGTGGGGACACACACACACACACACAAGTACACAGACACACACACATATACACAGTATCGCTCTCATAAAAGTGACCTTGCCTTCCAAGCCGACGGTTTGCTTTCTCCTGAAAGGCTTTGTATATTTGGTGCGAATGTTCTGGTGTCAGTTCTGGTGTCTCCCTGCTCACCAGCAGCCTCCTTAGCACAGGATGACGTCTCACAGCTCTGTGTTGAGTCTTAAAGATTAAATCTTTTTTAAAAAAACTCAACAACTTCCCCCTCCTCTCTACATTTCTTTCCTAAAGTCTTGTTCGTTCATTGGACATCCACGTCTAAGGTGGGCGACCCAGCCTCCCACCCTGGGAGCTCACAGACTGGTCTGCAGTTGACAGAGGTGGACAGGCTGGGTGGAGGGGCGGGAATAGGACCGTGCAGAAGGAGGCATCTGGCTTGATGAGCTTGGAGGACAAAGAAGGTTTCCAAGAGGAAGGCTCACATGAGGAGGTTCCTGAGAGATGAGAGTTTGAATGCCAAGTGGATGGGAGAGGAAAACAGCCTTCCAGGTGGGGTGGGGGAGCAGGTGGGGGGTTCTGGGCCAGTTTGCAGGATGTAGAGGAGCAGCCCCCCTGGAAACAGTAGGAAGAGGGCTGGTTTAGCCAGATACAGAGATCGCAAAGCAAACAGGCTAGAAACAGACATGGAGAGAAAGGATGCTTATCCCAGACAAAGTTTTTGACTTAAGAATTTCATTTAGGAGTAGTGGTGAGACACTTAAGAATTTAAAGCAAGAACATATTGATAAGATGTGCAATGGTGAGAGGCAATTCTGTTCATCTTGTCTATTTTTTTTATTCTGCTTCTTTACCCAGCTTTTTGTTTGAATCTGTGTTTGCCTTCAGTAGGGCTTCCCTGGTGGCTCAGATGGTAAAGAATCTGCCTGCGGTGCAGAAGAGCCAGGTTCAATCCCTGAGTTGGGAAGATCCCCTGGAGAAGGAATGGCAACCCACTCTAGTCTTCTTGCCTGGAGGATCCATGGACAGAGAAGCCTGGTGGGCTACAGTCCATGGGGTTGCAGAGTCAGACACAACTGAATGAGCATGCACACACAATCATAAAACAAGGTAAAAACACAGAAAAAATAACCACAAAGGAGCTAGACATCCCCAGGCTTACCGAATCCCTGGAGTGCGCCTCCAAGCAACTCGGCATCCATCACAGGGTTGAAATTCGGAGCTGGGAAGATGGTACCCTGAACCTGGTGGGAAGGAGCAAAGAGAGAGAGGAGTTGGGTAATTCTCACCAAAGACTTTAGCGTGTTTTTCATATAAATAAAACAAAAGTACATTCTATATGTTTGAATTACTCTAAGACACACACACGGGTATTTTAAACAGATGTGTTAATTGTATGTCAGTTGCGGTGACTTAGTTGTGTTCTTTTTAATCCCCTGTTCTCTCCCGTATTGGGATCTAGAAACTGAGAAAATAGAACTGATAGTAGAAAAGTATAAGAAGCAGATAAATACATGTCTTCTTAGTAAACAGTTAGCATTTTCTTAGGAATTGGAAACTACTTAGAAACTGAAAAGAACTATTATGGGGCTTCATCCCATTTAAATGCTGCTGCTGCTGCTGCTAAGTCGCTTCAGTCGTGTCCAACTCTGTGTGACCCCATAGACGGCAGCCCAGCAGGCTCCCCCGTCCCTGGGATTCTCCAGGCAAGAACACTGGAGTGGGCTGCCATTGCCTTCTCCAACGCGTGAGAGTGAAAAGGGAACGTGAAGGCGCTCAGATGTGTCTGACTCAACCCCATGGGCTGCAGCCCACCAGGCTCCTCCATCCATGGGATTCTCCAGACAAGAGTACTGGGGTGGGGTGCCACTGCCTGCTCCGCCATTTAAATGAGTTACAGATTAATCCTTTGCCTGTTGCTTCATTTGCAAATATTTTCTCCCTTTCTGACTGATGTCTTTCCCTCTTGCTCATGATTTCCTTTGCTGTGCAAAAGCTCTTAAGCTTACCTAGGTCCCGTTTGTTTACTTTTGCTTTTCTTTTCATTTCTCTAGGAGGTGGGTCAAAAAAGATCTTGCTGTGGTTTATGTCAAAGCATGTTTTTCCTAGGTTTCTCTCTAATAGTTTTATAGTGTCTGGTCTTATATTTAGGTCTAAGCCAGAGAGAGAAAAATAAATATTGTATATTGACACATATATGTGGAATCTATAAAAGTGATGCAGATGTATGTATTTCCAGAGCAGAAATAGAGACACAGATGTAGAGGATAGCCTTGTGGGCGTGGGGGTGAGGGGAAGGGGGACAAGTTGATAGAGTAGCATTGACGTGTATAAATTGTCGTTTGTTGTTCAGTCACTAAGTTGTGTCTGCCTCTTTGTGACCTCAATGGACTGCAGCACGTCAGGCCTCCTGTCTACCATCTTCTGGAGTTTGCCCAAGTTCATGTCCATTGAGTCAGTGACACCATCCAACCATCTCATCCTCTGCTGCTCTCTTCTCCTTTTGCTTTCGACCTTTCCCAGCATCGGAGTCTTTTCCAATGAGTTGGCTATTCATATCAGTTGGCCACAGTATCGGAGCTTCAAGTTCCACGTGTAACACAGATAGCCAGTGGGAAGCTGCGGTATGGCATGGGGAGCTCAGCTCAGGTCTCTGTGATGACCCAGAGGGCGGGACTGGTGGGAGGAGGTCCCGGCGGGGGGGGTACATGTATACACGTGGCTGATTCCTTCACTGTACAGAAGAAACCTATGCAACATTGTAAAGCAACTCTACCCCAATAAAGAATAAACAATGACTTAGAAGTGGCAGTTACCACCACAGCTTTAAAAAAATATTCAGGGGCCCTAAAGTCACATAGAAAGTTGAAATATTGAATCCAGAATCGAAATTCACAAAAATCTAGATGATGCAGGTAGGGTGGAGGGCTTTTGGCAGAAGCTTGGAAGTGCAGAGGAAGACATGAGCTTCCGAAGCCCCTCCTTTTATACTCTGTCGTGTGCCAATAGTAGAGTGACCCTGCATCTCTTACTTGAGCCCGAGCCAGCAGCACTGGGCTGGGTAGGATCACACGCAGAGCAGGAACCGCCAGTTCAGGTGTGCTGAGAAGGGGAGCTCCCCTCGTTTGTTGTGAGTTTGCCCAGAGATGATGGGGAGAGAGCCATCATCTGAGCCATGGCAACAGGTCTCTGGGCCCTTGAGCAGGCAGCTTCGTAGAGCAATGCTGCTGAACACACAGCATTCTGGGGCCCATGTTATAAGAGCAGAAAATTAGTTAATTGATGAGCCTGGTTTCTAGTCTTAAGAAACATACATATACCACTGCCAAAAGATTAATGAAAAAAATTTTAGGGGGAGTAAGAAAATTGTTCACTTGTGTTGAAGCTAAGAATTAAATTCAATTTGTGTTCCACTTGGCCAATATTAATAAGTTTTTATACTCAGAGGCACAAACGTGTCCATGAATCGTTCTTTTTAAATCCTAGATGGACAGATGTGTGATTAAAATATGGACACAGTTTAGGATCTTAGGATGCCCACACGTGTGTCTGCAAGCCAGTGTCCAGTTCACTTCTGATAAAGTGAAAGTGAAGGTTGCTCAGTCATGTCCGACTCTTTGCAACCCCAAGGACTAAACAGTCCATGGAATTCTCCAGGCCAGAATACTATAGTGGGTAGCCTTTCCCTTCTCCATGGGATCTTCCCAACTCAGGGATCAAACCCAGGTTGCTCGCACTGCAGACGGATTCTTTACCAGCTGACCCACAAGGGAAGACCAAGAATACTGCAGTGGGTAGCCTATCCCTTTTCCAGTGGATCTTCACCACCTAGGAATTGAACTGGGGTCTCCCGCATTGCCGCTGGATTCTTTACCAGCTGAGCTATGAGGGATATCTCAAGCTTATTGGCAATGAGCCAGAACGTAGTTTTCTTGAGCCAACCCTCATTTCTATACACTATTGCATGGGAGACGATATGAGTTTTACTTGCCTATTCACTATCATCCCCTTGAGTGAGACTCTATCAAGAAAATAGACTTAGATTCTTCTTTCAGTCACTAAATTGAGTTCAGAAAGTAGACTCTAAGGTAAACTCCTAGACTGAGTTCTCTTCACCTCAGTTGTTTTCTTTGGAATCTTATAATCCTAGAGCAATTTAAGATTTAAACTTCTGAAAGACAAGCCCTGCCTTCAAATGTGAAATTTATTCTCTGCTCTTTGTTACTGTCTTTTACTAAGTCCCTTTTGTCTGTGTAGCTTTTTCTCAGTGTTTTCGTTGGGAAAACTAAAGGCTCTTTGAAGCATGTTCGTTGTAGGAATTAGAAGGCTGTTGCACAGTTTCTGGGTGACGGTGCCATTCATTGCCTGCTGACCTTGGTTTTGCTGCAAGCTCTCGGACAAAGGGCAATCTTATTTATTTTTTAATTCATGGGAGTGTAATTGCTTTACAATATCTTGTTAGTTTTGTTGTACCATGAAGTAAATCAGCTATATATATATATACATATACCCTCTTGAACTCCCTCCCAGCCCCCAGCGCACACTTCTAGGACATCACAGAGCACCGAGCTGAGTTCTCCGTGCTTTGTGGAAGCTTCCCACCGGCCATCTGTTTTACACATGCTGGTGCACATATGTCAGTCCCAGTCTCCCCGTTTGTCCCTGTCTTAAAAGCGTAAGAGAGAAAATGTGTTTGGAAACAGTGAGACATATTGTTGCATACGTGTAAGTAGCCTAGGCAGTCTCGTCTCTGAATGTGCAACTGTCCATCACAAACTTGAGCATTTCATTCCTGGCTGGACCAGGGTCCTCCAGAATTCCGACTGGAGTAAGTGCTACAAAATGAAACCCTTCATATATTTTGCAAAAAGAAAAACAAAGACACACACACAAAGCTCTAAAAGTAATACATAAGGAAAGGAAAGTTGTTCAGTCGCTAAGTTATGTCTTGACTCTTTGTGACCCCATAGACTGCAGCACGCCAGAGTTCCCTGTCCTCCACCATCTCCTGGATTTTGCTCAAACTCACATCCATTGAGTCAGTGATGCCATCCAGCCATCTCACCCTCTGTCGCCCCCTTCTCCTCTTGAACTTTCTACAGTGATTTATTAGACAAAATTTGTATGTGAAATAAAAACCCACAGTTTTTTCTTCATAGTTTTTTTTAAATCCTCACACAGACTACTAATACAATGTATTTTTATAATATAATGCAAAAATTCTTTCTTTCTTTTTACACTTCTCATCTCTTTTGCCACTTAAAGTTCTCTCCTTATCTATTTGTCTTAGAATAAATCAGTAAAAATGTTTTAGAAGTAAATTCAACACTAAAAGTAAAAAAAAATTGTGAATGATCAGTAATTCAAACAACACTTTTCTAGTGAGCTCTTGTCATTCATGCCCATTTATATAGCATATTAAATCATTATATTCATTTCATATCAGTCATTATGTTTCAGTTAAGCTGGAGTCAGCAACGTTGTTCCATGTAAGGTACCTACTTCGGGTTCCTTGAAATGCTGACCCCGTCATTTAATGGCAATATTTCCGTGTGTCCCTCAGAAGTGATTGGCGTGTAGTGCTGGGCACAATGCGACATGATGCCGGTGTGTGCTGTGAAGCACTCCCCTCAGTGCGGTTAGTTGGCATGGCTGCCGCCTCACGTGATCTGGCTTACTTCTGATGAGGACACTTGAGACCTGCTCTCTTAGTTGTTGTTGTTGTTTAGTTGCTTCAGTCATGTCAGACTTTGTGACCCCATGGACTATAGCCCACCAGACTCCTCTGTCCATAGGACCCTCCAGGCAAGAATACTGGAGTGGGCTGCCATACCCTCCTCCAGGGGATCTTCCCCACCCAGGGATCGAACCTGTGTCTCTAATATCTCCTGCATTGGCAGGCGGGTTCTCTGCCACCCGCGCCACCTGGGAAGCCCAATAGAGATTGTAGGGGTGTCTCATTCTGAGTCCCCTGGCAGGTATAATGCGCACCTCAACTGAAGCAGATGGCATGTTCTTGATGAATACAGATCGCTTGTCTGACCGAATGTAATTTTACTTACTGATTTTCGAGGTCTATTTTAAGTCACCCCAATCACTGTAATTTAACCTTTTGAAAGAGTGAGAGACTGTTATGTTAGGTATTTTTCAGCATGTATGCCTCTTAAAGCAAAGTCCCTTTTTATATATGTGTTTCTAAATTGTTCATGTCTTAGAGCAAAATGGAAATTTTGAAAAAGTGGAC